CCTCGCTGGGGAAGGAGCCTGCAGCGCGTCCCAGACCCCCTCCAACACCCTCCATGGATGCCCTTCTGGTTACACCAAAACCGCAGGACAGACCCAGCTGTAGGGCTGGTGGGACAGAAAAGCCCACAGTAAATCCAGTCTTGGGCTGATAAGACCCCAAAAGGGTTGTGGCTGTTTTCTGGAAAGGGTGGGGAGCCATTAAGGCAGAGGAGCATCATTTGGGGGGCCCAAAGGGCTGTGGTGCCCCAGACGGGAGACCCTTTCAGAAGCAGGCAACGTGACTCTCTTCTATTCTCTGTATATTTATCACACATACTCTACAGAGCTCAGGTTATAAATTACACAAATGCATCCTTAAATGTTTCCATTCAAAAAAATATATACATGCAGCTGTTGAACATACTTCCCACTGTCTTCACCACAGCGAAGCTCTTCACCGTCACTGTCTGTCAAGGACCAGGTCCAGATGATGTGTGGATTTGAGGTGACCAGCAGGAGCTGGGTCTGTTCCCCTCGTGCCTCCTCCCTCCCACTGTCCCTGCAGCATCTGCGGGAGAGAAACAAGTTTCTCATAGCCCATCTCTGACCAGGACATCCTCCAAGTGAGCTGCATTTTCCCCCACCACTCTTATTAAGCGATACAGCAGATGAACATTGTATTATGTATTTATTGATTAACAGCAGCATCTTAGATAAGTGAAACCCAGTTGCCTTTGACGGCAAGAATAACATTGGGTTATGTTAAGTGCCGTTCGGCACACAGAAACATTTATTTGGGAGTTGCCTTCTGTCACGTGAGTTTTTTATTTGCATTTCCAGAAGGCTTTAGTGCTGAGTTTCTATTTGAAGCCAGGGAGGCGAGAGGGCAGTAGGATGGTGGGAGCTCAGGTTTTCCCAGGGAGCGCTCTCTGTGTTGGGAGATTAATATTGACTGTGGGAGAAGCACGGGGACAGAGATTTACAGCAGTGCCTGGTTTTTCACAGTAAGGGTGAAAAAACCTGGGAAAACTAAGAAGCAAGTAAGAGGGACAGACTCCTATCTCTAGATCTTCAGATCAAGATGTTAATAAGGCAACAAGTTGATGGGCTCGATGAACGCAGCACAGTGATGTTCAACAGCCTGTCTTGTCCCGGAGATCAAACAAAGTGGTCTCCTCTGACTGTATAATGTATGAAGCTGCAAAATCTTAAGGGCATATAAACTTACTTTGATTGCAGGGCTTGGATCTTGGAAGTCGCATTCCTTTAATTTCCTTGAGCTGGTTGCTTTCCCCGTGAAGGACATGTACAGGGTGGCGAGTTTTCAACGGAAACTGGTTTTGCCTCATTTTCCACTTCTCTCCTGCTACAAGGAAAGAAGTGCAGAGCTCCGGAGGCCTGCCTGCCTCTTTCTATGCAGACAGAAAGGGCTGGGTGTCTGTGTTTAATTACAGCCTGAAAGAACTGCATTTAAAAGACAACAGCAAGCTATTTAATTAATACTTATCATTAGCACACATAGGAATGCCTAGCAGCAAATTGCAACAACAAAGCAACTCTTTTTTTTTTTTTCCCCTTGCACTTGGGATAAATTAATTTAAAAAAAGAGTAAACAAACCATTTGCACCAGATTTGAGATGACTTTATATGGAGTGGGAGTACTGGGATAGTAGGTATTACCCGAGGACAGCAAAGATCTATATGAGCAGGCTTTTCAATCTCCAGCTCTCCTGGCCAAGAAGCATATCTTCATCTATCCATCTATCTGTCTTTCTATCTTGGCATTTACACTGGGCTTATCCCCATGTCTGAGCGCCTACTTGTCTTCATACCTGTCCATAAATTACATGGCACCCCCAAGGCATTATAAATAATAATTCAACTACCAAACCTTCAGAACACTGTTTTAAAGAATTGGCTCATAATTCACCACACTGTGGACTCCTCCTCCCAGCCCATAAAGGTAATGCTGGAGCAGAAGGATGTGACGCTCTGATCAGCAACGGAAACACCACAAAATCAGTTCCTTGGGTGCGAGGGATGGGGTGGGCAGCCCTGAGCTGGAAGATGGGAATGGACATAGTGGCAAAGCACAAGGGAAGGCTGGACTGCTCTGCTTGTGGGAAATAGCATCCTCATTCTCAGCCCACTGAGGATTTGTATATTTGTATATTCTCACCAATTTTTCCTTGGCCAACACTGCAGGCAGCCAGTTATCCGATGTCCCCCTTTAATTAATAGCACTCTTAATGGCACTTTGCTGCTGATGTCCCCAATAAGGTGCAATGCCAGGCAATGACCACTAGCTCAGAGGGAGATGGCTTAAAGGGTAGACCCCATGTGTAACCAGACAGATCCCAACTCAAGCATGGGACAAATGACCCAATCCCATGTTGAACACACCAACAAATGGCTACAGGATATCAGGATGCCTTGATACCTGTAGGCTACTGGCTAGAAACCTCCAGCTGAACCATGGGGGACCCTATTTCTCTATCCCAACACACTTCATCTCCATCCCAACACAATACTCCCTACTTGAGGTTCTTAGGGGTTAGAAGCACATCCCAGATGTGTCTCTGAGTGTAAAGGGTGTTCAACCTCCAAGGGAACATCCCTGGCAAGATATGGGGTCAATGCAGAGGATGCTCCTGGGCAATGCCGTCTCCTGAGATGTACGGATTGGATATGCTCAGTGTGAAGAGCCTGAAACTGGAATTTTTGCTGAGGAAAAGTGTGAGCGGTTGATGTACAAGATGAATTATTTCACAAGTCTGGCCTGAACAGCTCTGGAAAGTGCAGAAGTAATATATCAATAACCCCAGGAACACATCAACCTGCCAGACCTTGCAGCTGCCCATTGAAGTGTTGGGCAAGGAGGTACCGCCTTCCTGCATGAGTTTCCTCCCTGCGTTTTCCATTTTTCTGTCAGACGGAGACCTGAGGAGGAACAAGCAGAGCACCGAGCACCCGTTTTGGAGCTGAAGTGGGAGGAAAAACCCACGGTGTGAGAACAGCCAGGGATGCCATGGTCCCTGAGCAGGTGGTGGGACTCAGCACACACACAGGTGGGGTTCATCCCTGACACGGGCGGCCATGCATTGCCCTCTGTGGGAGCATGGCCACCCTGCAAGCCGAGCGTGTCTGTGCACCCTCCGCCTCAGCTCCGGGCGTGAAACAGGCTTTTCCTGCTGTGCTTCTGCCCTGGAAATCCCAGGGAGAGGTTTCAGAGTGTCCTGCCCAAAAAATAATCTCTTTTGGACTGGGGGAGAAGAAACACCCTCACTCCATAGGGTGATAGCCCCCCATAGGAATATTGTCAGGGATGTTTGAGAAGTAAACACCTTTTCTCCCTGCATGGGCATTGTCTGCTGCCTTCCTGCAGTGGAGCTGGACCCTTTACCCCTCCAACTGCTTCTGGGCACTGGGATGGTAACGTTGGGGTGTATTCGCCACACTTTCTGCTTGTAAAACACAGCAGGGCTTTGGCGGACTGCAAACCCCCATCCTTCCCGGTGCTCCCCGGGCAGGGGTCAGGGTCCAGCCTTTGCTCTCCCACCTCCACCTTCTGCTCCAGTCCTGGCAGCAAGCTGGATTTGCAACCTCTCCCTTGGATGCGGAGCTGGATGAAATTTCTGGCCTCTCCCCCTCACGAGGTGTCTTAAGCTATGATTAAGAGCTAAATTACAACTGGGCAGCTGTCCGGGGCTGAGAACCACAAGATTGGGGGAGGCACTTATTAAAGGCTGTGGAGACCAACAAGTATAACATGTACATCAGCAAAAGGGACAGCCTATCACAGGGGTCAAATGGGATCAGAGGAGTTTCTCATCAATACCACCAGTAATTTGTTGGCCCACCCCCCAGTGCAAAGTCATCCTTTGGGGCAAGGTTGTTCCTGAGGAGGAGGATTCCTCAAATAAGACATTCTGCTGGCCAGTTTGGCTCTTAAAGAGTGGTGAATGATGGCCTTATGAAGCATCAGACCTTCCCTGGACTCCTCTACCACTTTCTTCTCAAATGCTTGATCCACCCAGCTAGTAGAGCCGTCAGCATTAAAAACATCAGGCATCCAAGCACTGTGGTTTTTTCCATCATTTTCAACTAAGCTGTTTCCCTCACCCCCGTTAATTGGGATGGGGCAGCCTCAGCCCCTGCCTCGGAGGAGGCACGGGTCCCTCCTCTCCTGCAGGGTTTTGGTGGGATGGAAGGAGGTGGCATGGGGCCGGCTGTGCCGGGGGGAACAGAGGAAAAACTTGCCCAGGTGCCAGCAAGGCGGCTTTCAGCCCAGGCAAAGCTTCCCACTCTTCCCGCACATTCTGCAACATCCCATGCTGATTCACTTCACAGAATTTTCTTTTACCCTGCTAAATGCCACTAAACCTTCAAATTAATCCTCCCATTACGGGACTTCCTTTGATGTCAAAGGGGGAATTTTTTTTGATGGCAAAGGGGGATTTTTCCCCCCTGGTGTAATTTTTTTTTTTTTTTTTTTTTTCCCCTTTTTAGGCACAAGAGATTCCTGCCAGATGCACGACTTGTGGAGGCAGCTCCCACACAAGGTATTTATATATTTATATGTATATGATGGGAACGTAGTATTGAAAGACCTGAAGTTTCAGGCTAAAGATAAGGGGAATTTCCCATTTCCTATTTGCTTCAGGAAGTTGCCTGAGAAAAGTTTGCAGCAGTACTGGGACCAAAAGCTGCAAGATACGGCACTGGAAAGTATCTCTTTAAAATGCATGTGTTTGAGGAAAACATCCACTATTTAACACTGTCACTGAGCAAGTTTTGATGCCTGGGAATGATCACCAGCACTGCTTAAATTATGGGGATGGGTAAAGCAGATCCACTCCAGCATTTCCCATTCAGCGTCTCGGGTGCTACTGGGATTATTGGGCTGAACATCCCAGCACGGGGCCCGAATCACTGGGTAGTCCTCAGGAAGCTGGTGACTGTGGGTAGTGCTAAAGGAGCTTTCTGTAACAGCATGTAATGATGGACCAGGCAGATTTGTGTAGAGTTTCAATCAGTGTTTATGGATTTCTAGGAAAAAGGGGATACAATTGCAGAGCTCTTCACTGAAAATGTTATGAAATAGTCTGTATCATTTAATGGTGAAGTTTGTTCCTACTAATAATTCATTGCATGGGGACTGTAGGCTCCTCTCCCAGCATAACATGGGGCTTTATTAGGGATTCAAAATGAGCCCTGGGAGGCATCAGCCAGCCGTGCCCCAGTAGCTCAGGTCTGTGTGACTCCCTGCCTGGTGATCCCCTGATGTCCCAGGGGGGCCGACCGACTCCCTGACGCCTCTCGCCGCCGTGTCGTGGCTTCAATCTGCTCCCGGAGCACCTGTGCCCAGTCCTGTCCCCGCTCCAGGGAGGTGGACCTGGTCTCCATCCCTGTTAAGGCAGTGATTTCCGGGGGGAGCTGAGGAACCAGGCCTGCTCGGAGCACAGCATCCTGAAATTTGGCCGCAGAGGCTGGAGCTAAACAACAGCGGGGCGTGCTGAAAAGGAAAGAAAAGCAAGAAAACTTTTGATGTAAGCAAGCCCTGAGCTGGAGATGCTGCAGGGGCAAGGGGGAAGTGACGCTCTGGTCCCCAACACTCCTGACCACAGCTGTCCTTACCTGTCTGGCTGTGAGTAGTGGTAGTGAGCAGCCACGGCGGAGTGTGGGCACAGCAGGTAGTGGTTCTCCTCCCAGCAGCGCTGCATGGCTCGCACGATGTCCTCGTCCGAGGCCGAGCAGGAGCGCAGGGTCTCAGAGAGCTGCAGCCCCAAGGGGAACAGGGAGGTTTGCAGGGGGCATCACCACCCCACGGGCTCCCAACCAGGCTTGTGCCACGGGCACACAGCAAAGCAGTTGGAAACAGGGAGGCTGGAGGATGGAGTTCCCCAGGGACTGCAGGAAGAGGGGTTGTTGGTGCAGCTGGGGGATGAGGAAATGGTCATGGGGCTGGGGTGTGAGCAAGGGGTTTGTATCCCCAGGTGTTGGAAGTGTGGGTGGGAAGGAGCCGAGACTCAGCTCTGTGCTGCTATTTGTACGATCCAAGGGAGTTTCTGAGAGCTTGGAAAACCCACCTCAGCGTAATAGCTCTTCTTTCTTTTAATTATGCAATTTTATAAAAATTTATTTTCCTACTGCGTAGCTCTTCTTTCTTTTAATTATGCAATTTTTTAATATGTATTTTCCTACTGCACAAGCAGGAGCAGACGGCAGGCAAAGGATGCTCAGTGGGGGACAGCATGTGTTGGATGGGAAGAGACAGGACTTTGCATCCGGCCAAAGAGCCTCGCAACTCAAATATTTGGTTTTATTTTGTATTTTTCTCTGCTTTGTATTTGTGCTCCCATGTGCCACACCACAGAGGCTGAATTGCAGCCCCAAGCCCAGCAGAGGCACTCCAAGAGCCATGAAGGCCAATGCCGGCACTTGAGTGGCCAAGGAAAGGGTGGCTGCATCTTCTACTTAGATAACTGTAGGCAGTTTTTAAGCAGTTTTGCAAAGACAAAAGAGGCTTCTTTCAAAAAAGAAAATTAAAAAGGTTTTTAACGTCTCCATGAGCACACACTGATATAAAACTCCATTGGCATCATGCTTAAATTTTTGGTTGGAAACTTTCCACCAGGATTTTTTGTCTGAAAATTATGTTGAAAAGACTCGGTAGTGGTAAATTTGCTTGCACACACACACGGACACAAATACAGTGCTGCATGCGGGAGGAACTGACCTTTTTGTGCAAATCCTCCGGCAGCTTCAGGCTTTTCGACACGCTGAATCGCTCCATCAGCGTTTTCATCAGGCTGCTGTCGGAGCCTGAGAGCAACCAGAGGATCCTCTCCATGTTGTAAGGCTCCTGCGATAACAAGACAATAGGTAAGCAGAGGAAATTCAAGTGTCTGTCTTAGGGAGAGAGAACTTGTGTAGATTCTCGAATGTCTAATTAGGGTTGAGGTCCTGCTGCTATGTTTTTCTTGGTGGAAGTTGGGGTGGGCTTCCTGCATACCTACATCCTAAGACAAGTCCTTGGGAACACAATGTCCTTCAGACCTCTGACCTGTCAGAGCAGTCTGGCAGTGACCATCAGATTAAAAAAAAACTAATGAAGGGATGACTGATAAATCGCCAGTGTGACCACAACTGTACAGTCACCTTGAGGAACCCGGGCTAATAACACGCTGTGTATTTGAGAACCAGAAATATCCAGCTGTTTACTCAGTGTTGCAGATGCTGCTGTGAGTCACTCAGCTCCCGCGTGAGTTAATGAGACACCCAGCTCCCTGCAGGGCTGACCGATAATCTTTATGAACATTTAAGGCACATATAGGGCCTGACTGGGCTGTATGGCTATGTACCAACCGGTGTTGCAACACTGCAGCAAAACTCGGTGCAAGACCATACAGGAGGGTCCCAAATCAAATTTCACTGCTCACTGTCTCATTCCTGCACACTAACAAGTACCATTCATCCAGGTGGTTTGGCCAAGATACCTTGTAAAGACAGACAGGAAAAGGGGTACTGACTACCGAGTCCTCATCACATCTTCTGGGTTCAAGAGCTGGTGATGAGCTCTATGTACCTTTTAGCAGCTGACAGTGCCTGTGACCTTTTGTCTCTCCATCCTGTCCTACCTCGGCAAGTCATCAGGACTTACTCAGCCTTTCGTGTCCTTATCTGGGTGGCCTATGGCCGCAGTCCTGTTCTTCATCTTCCCACCATCATTTCCCAGAGCCTCCAGCCTGTAATCTTCAGTCTAGTCTGGGTGTAGCCTGCCCTTGGCTTTAGGCTGTCCCCTGGTTTAGGCTGTCCTCTGCTTCCCAAATTGGCTGTCCTGAGAAGTTTCGTGTCAGCATGCCTGGACTTTGATGACCTTCTACTGGAGGTGCCTCCAGCACCCTCCCCCTGACACCCCTTCTCTCGTTCCTTCCTTCTCCTGCTCCCACGTCCAGACCTTTCCCTTCACCCTCCATTTGTACCAGCCTTATGGTTTCCACTACTGATCACTACATTGATACCAGTAGCTCAAACTAGGCCAGGACACTGGTGCAAGCACTGGCCTTGCCATTTAAGTTAATAGCCAGATCTCTGGCGTGGTTTTGTTCCATGTCACTAGAGTTGTCCAGGAGAACGTTTGGGCCCAGTTTGGACCACAGGTCACAATGGGGACTGTTCCCAAGGAAAGTTTTGGCATGTGGGCATGAGCTGCATGGTGTTTCCTGACCTAGACTTTCTGCTTCACCTTCAACTCTTCAGTTACTGTCTAACTGGACAGTTTTCTCTGCTTTAGCATAGTTTTCAGAAGAGGCAATCTGAAGAGGTTGTACACTTGCTTTCCAAGCCTGCTGGATGAAGCCCTGAGCAACCTGGTCTGACCTCAGGACTGACCCTGCTTTGAGCAGATCCTAACTAGAGACTTCCTGAACTCCCCTCCAGCATGAATAATCTGTTGAGCTATGGAAATATTTGCAAGGATGCTTCAGATGTGAAGTGAACGATGATGCCCCATGCAGCTGTGGAGAGGGATGTGCAAAGGGATACACCCATCCAGCTCCTTCGGATTCTCTGGACATGACTTTGCCTGGCTGCCTTCCCTTATGGTCCCAAAGTCTGGCACATGCTTAGTTGTCCCAGCTGACAGTGCTACTGAAGGGACATGGACCAAGAGAGGAGCCCAGCTACCATTTGAGCTCTGAGGAAGCCCATAAATTCATACCTCGGGAGGAAAGTCAAGCTGCAGACCACAGCAGCCTGGTGATAGGGGCATAATGTCCCCCTAATGTGTTTGAACAGCTTTTGGGAAATCCATGTAGCTTCAGGCCACAGTGATATAACACCAATGATTTCAGACTTCGGTCACTTGTTTGGAAGCAGATCCAGTCCCTGTGGATCACAGGTTAGGTATGAAATGGGAGGTATTTATTTCCAGGTGTTTGGTTTCTGTATCTCCATGACTTTTCATTTCTGAGGCCTTTGCCTGCCTGCTGAGACTTGTTTTACTCTGAGCAAGTTGCAGATGGCCATGGAGGAGGCATTTCTCCTGGTCTTCCCTATCTTCTTCCTGGTCTCTTCTCTTGCTCTTGGTGAGCCTTTCAGAAACATCAACAAAGTCCTTGAGACATGATGAGATTTATAATTTTCTATGTGTCACATTTTGAGAAAATGTCCCTTTCTTGCTAACCTTGCACATAACGAAAACCTCAGAAACCCAGCATTTAACAACGTAAATTACAAAGTCAAGCCCTAAAAAGTGAGGAAGAAAGTGTTTGATCTATCTCAGCTCAGCATAAATGCTCAATATGAGTCATGCCTCAATGCACTGCTGAAAGGCATTGCCAGTGGCAGAACTATGCTCTCGTAAACCTGGTAGAACAGAGTACAAGGAAAAAAAGTATTTCTAATATTTGTTATTTTCCCATTTTGGCCAATTCATTACATACCTGAATATCCATGGCTGATGCTAATGTAGCCTTCACGCTCTCCGACAGCGAGAAATCTCCTTGTTGAACAGTCCTATGAATGATGTCATTGCTATTAACCACGGCAACAAGTCGAATTGGGAGACCCATTTTCTGGGCAATACAGCCAGCTAAAAAAAGTGAAAAAAATGTATGCATGCTTGAGGAAGAAACATTCAAAGGAGGTTTAGCAAAGAAGTCATTGTACAAAATGACTGAGCATGTAGTTCAGAAGCAGACACAAATGACATTCCCTAATGGACTCCGAGAAATCTGTCTTTAATGTTTTGGTAGAGCACCAGATTATAAAATCCAGGGATGCAGTGCTCCATCTGCCATCCACACTGACCCTCGGGCATCTCCGTATTTAAAGATGGATGGGCGGGGGACTGAGAGGTCAGATTGCTGCCATTCAAGCAAGAGAGATGGAGCTTTTGGACTCTTGCAGCTTGTTAATGATGCCTCAGATGGGCAGCCTGGAAATACAGTGAATGCAGTCGAGTCTGTTGAATCCTTTATTGCTTCCATGAGACAGTTGTATGCCTATTATGGGATGGAGGCAATCAAGAACTCACTTTTTAGAAGGCCAGATTACACAATTGAGAGTGGTTCTCTTGACTGCACACTACCATGCAAACAAGAATAGGACCAGGCAGCATTCCACACCTCTGTTAATGTCTCAGTTAGAAAATCAGAGCCATGGTATTTTCCCTCTTTTCTGGATCAAACACATTCTGTCCTCTTCTAATGTGCCCATCCTCAAGATAGCTACAGTCATCATCAAGGAGTGGTTTGGGATTTTCTGCACCTTGAATCAGTGACACCTAAATGAGTAATAACCACACATGAGTAATAAAATATAAGTGGTTCTGAAGAAATCCTACCAGAGAGTGGGTGTTTTAATAAATAGTAATACCCAGCATCTGCAAAGTGCTTTTAGTCCATAGGTCACAGCACTCTCTCTCTTCCATATCTAACCTATCTTTTTTCCCTTCACCTGTGATATTTCCTCCTCCTCCTGTTGGCACAACAATTTCCACCACTGGCAGCGGGGTGGTATCCAGGGATGGGGCACACTGAAAGTAAGCGTAGAAGTGGTGAGCAATCTGCACCATAATCCTAGACCAATTGACCGAATTCAAGCTCATCAGATTGTATTTTCTGGCAAAATCCACATCAGCGAACAGTTCCTTGATGGGCTCATCGATTTCATCACTGTTCCCATGAGCTGTCAAAAGGAGAAAGGAAAGATTAGATCTGCCAACATCAGCGCATCAGGCACAAGGTATTTCTGCTCGGAAATCGGGTCAGTCTCAAGCCCTGGGGTTTGCTGGAGCCAGGGGTGTCCTGAGCTGCCCGTCTGCCTCGGGGGCTGTACGAGCCAGGGGCTGGGTAGCACCACGTGGATGCCAGCTGGTTTCTGCAGCCATTGCACTCTGCGCTCTTGTTTACACCAGGTATATATCTGCCTGTATCCCCTGTGAGATGCCAAGGTGAGACCTGGCTAAGCAGAGGAGTCCATGGAACAGCTCAAGGCACCCCGTGGTGATCCCCACCATGGGGACGGCACAGAGGTAGGGGATGGACCACTCAGGAAGGTGAAGAGACAGAGGGAAGGTGTCATTCTTGGTGCTTTCAGTGCCAAGAAATGGTGCTGAATTCAGTGCAGATGAACACCAACCACCTGCACAGATGCAGCTCTCTTCTGCAGCCAGGTGAAAAGGGAGCCTTGAGCCACTTTTCATCAAAGTGGGGTCACCTGTTGTATGCTTCTGTTAGCCAGACACCTGGGCATGGTGGCCATGATGGCAAAGACCCAGCTGGCTGCAGCTGCTAAAGCAGCAGCCACCTGAGACTTGTGGGGTCATTGTTTTGACATGGCAGGGTCATAAAGCAGACAGTCCAACAGTAATGCCAACCAGCAAAGACATGGACGTTGTCTTCAATGACGGTGGTCATCTGAAGTTCCTGTATCTGGGTGCAGAACCCTTTGGGCAGCAGAACAAAGATGTCCATGTTCTTCTGCCCTCTCACACTCTCGATGGCGGAGCTCCCCGTGTCTCCTGAAGTCCCTGTTTCAAAGTAAGGAAGAACCGAGAAAAGCAAAAAAATTGATGTGCCAGTCAAACCTGCATCACTGCACTTTAAGAAAAAGATATAGAAATTTTCCACAAGATACTTTTGGCTAGGGCAGCCACACTGGCATTGCCTGGAGATCACTCACCAGCCAGCCATGAGGCAACACTACCCCAGCACATCTATGGGGAGGGCTGTGCGATGATGGCCCTCAAGGTAAAATCCTGCCCAGAAGTTTTACCTCCCAGAAAGAGGCATACTCACCCACCACAATAGTGACATGCTTCTGCTTTTTCTCCAAGAAATACTGTAAAAACTGCCCTGTGCAGGACAAGGACAGATCCTTAAACGCATAAGTAGCCCCGGGCCACAGCTCCAAAACATTCAGCCCATCTTTCAGCCGGGACAAGTGGATGATGTCCTTGTGTCTGAACCTGCTGAAGGCCCTGTCGATCAGGTCTAGAGGGAAAATGGTTAAAGGGGCTGTTAGATTGGGTGAATGAGTATTTTTCTGCCCTATAGCTTCCTGCATCTGTGCTGTTCGTGCTCCTGGAAAGCTTTCTGCACAACCAAAGACTCTCAGTTGCTAGAGAGGTGACAGATATCTAACAAGTTATTCTTAGTTGGGAATAAACCAGCCCACTTTATTGTCTTTGATAGCTCTACGGTGAGAGACCCCAGGGGACACCTGACACTACCAGAGCAAAGTGTCTTAAAATACAAAATACAGGAAACTCAAATTTTATCGTAACACACTGTTAAGAAAGAGGTTGTAGCTGCCCTCTGGTGGAAGTGATAGCTGTTAAATGTTAAAAACATTAAAAATCGGATCTCAATGAGAGTGTGCAACAGCATAAACCCTAGGGGGAGGTCAGGTCTGGAGCAGTGAGCAGGACCACAGCATCAGCCATCACTATTGCAGTCACCACAATCCTTATTTGC